TAACGATGAATATATAGAACTATAATGGCACTTAGATAGAAAATGAAAACTTTGAGTTAAGGTAAGAAATAGCTACTAAAGTTTTATTTAGCGCTTAAAAAGTGAACCGCAAAAGCTTCTGCTTTTTATTTTAAATTTTAGTTTCATTTAGCATTTACCGCAGGTTTCGTTGACTGTTGCAATAAATTCCTCATTTAGAATATCTTCACAATGTTGCGAAATTTGTTCACAGAGTAAATTAACCTTGGGATCATCACGGTCAGGTATTCCTTTCACGAAATCATCAAGAAACTGTAATTTTGACGGGAGGTTTTTATATTGACACTTTGATAACCTAATACCAGAAAGATATGAATTACGCTAGGTAATAATTGAAAGAAGCACAGAAGTTACTCATGTAACTGATGAAAAGTGGTTTTCCAAAACAAATATCACCTCATCAGTTTTAAGACGCTGATGTAAGTCATAAAGGCTGGTTCCTCTAATATTTAGTGCTTCGGGGTGTTTTAAGGAAAATGAGTGGAACTCAGCTGTTTGTTGCAAAACCTAAATTTGGCATGACGGTAGCTTTGCTGCTGTGATACTGCCTCTATGCTTTATAACTGTAATATTAAACAACTTTCTTGTTTCTTGCTAATTAGAAAAAGTTTCTTGTTAGAAGGTTTTCAACGGTATTTTAGTAGTGCAAAAGTGTAAAAATTTACCTGCTTCACGTCGGTAAGTTTCGTTTTTTCATACTGGGGTATAACGAAAGATGCTTCGCCTGCATCCTCCATGAGCATTAACCCGCCGTAATCAGATTCAAGTGACACCTTTTGAGCGAAATAGATTTCTGGGAGTTTGACACCAATTTTATACTTTTTCACCAGCGAATAAAACGATACTTCAGTATTATGCCCCTTTAAATAGAAAGAATAAAGTTTGTTTGTTAAAAAAAAACAGTACTTGCAAAAATAAAGAATGATATTTTTTTTACCTGAATACGAATTTTGTCCATACGTCCTAAAAATTCTTCTTTATTCAAGGAAGCTGCTTCAGTAGCTTTAACTACCTCTTCATCCTCCATAACTTTTCTGCTGGTTGCTAAACTGGAGACTTTGACAATAAAGCTCTTATCGAGTTTTGAGTCTGGCGGAGTCCAGTCCGGAAATACTCGAGCCACTACAGAGAAATATCCCTGAGCATTCAAGAAACAGTCAACTTTTCACACGCAGTTTACTTTACCAAAAAGTCTATTACTGGCATGCTTTTGCACAGTTTCTATGTTTCAGCAGCTTTAACTTCCAAATAAAGTGCGTTACTTAAAAGTGATAAATAAAAAACATATTTCAATTTACTTAAGAAAAAAATGCTGTTTTTAGAGATATAAAGTTTGAAGCACCTGATTAAACTTTAAGTCAGTCGGTCTTATTTCTGACTGAAACTTTCAAAAACTACTGCTAAGAAAGAACAGCATTAGTATAGAATTCTTCTTTGTATAGAAAAATTAAATATCAAATTTAGAACCTACCTGTCCAACTCCTATGTGCAACATTTTCAAATTTGGTCCAAATCGAGAAGATGTCTTAAAATATTCCTGCATTTTTTTCTCTACATATTCTACTGGTACTGAAGTATCTGGAAGCACTTGTAGTTTTGTCTGCTTTTCGCTGTCTTCGACTTCTATTTTTTCGTTTTCCATCTCCATTAGTTACTGTCTTGAACGTTCCTCAAAAGTTAACCGACCGATATGAAAGCAGTAAAACTATGGTCGCTAAGAAGTCGACGACTTTGACGGATTAAATAAAAATTTTTTAAACAGCGTAACTGAAATTTTCAACAAGCTCGCTCATTATTATATACGTAGTAAGCATTACATATATAGTATGCAATATATATATATATATATATATATATATATATATA